TGTGTGTGTGTGTGTGTGTGTGTGTGTGTGTGTTGACTAGTGCTCTGTTCTGCTCCAGTCCAGATCTGCTGACACATCTGGTGGCTGCAGGCAGTAGAAAATGTTTTTAATGCCCGTTTAGCATTCAAGCTTATTTGTGTTGAACAGCCCTGATCATCATTTTCAGAGTGCGATCTTAGTGGAGCTTTTCTTCATTGTTTTTTCCTGTGTATCTCATTGTGGACCTGAAAGCTCATATTGCCTCACTGTTGGGAATGAGTTAGCATGTGGCTTAGTAAGTGAGGGATATGTGTAATCAGACACCATTTCCGGGGTACGGATCCTGTGATGATTGTTGGAGTCTAGGGAGATGGTTTGTGTGTGTGTGTGTGTGTGTGGGTGTTTGTATGTGTGTCTCACAGACCATTTGCCAGCAACAACAACTGGTCTCATCGTCACTAACTGCTCTCTTAATGTCTCAGCTGACACCCCACCCCCAGCCTACATGCCCCCTGATGAGCAGCTGGGCCAGGAGAATCAGTCCATGGAAACAAGCAGCAGTGTGGTGCCGCAGAACATGCCCAGAGGAGGTAAGGAGTACCCACATTTAGACTGACAGTCATAAAGATGACAAGTAAATGATCAACAGTGAAAGGATTACATACCTGGCAGACAGTCATTTGTGAAGGCTTATAAAGATCCATGGTGATGGCTAGTATATCAGGAATGCCTTGGAGGAATTTCTTAATGTTTAGTACATTAAAATGATAAGAATTTGTTTGTCAAGAGATCATTGTGACCTCGCAAAATACCTCTCTGGCCATAAACCACTCAAGTATTCATTACATTTCAAAAAAATGTCCTACATGATGAATTGGTGGCATTTTAGATCCGAAACATCAGATGTCAACTTCACGTATCATCATTTTCTGCAAACCACTCCATTTATGATGGAGGAAAAGATTATGACCCTATTTTTCTGCAAAAGACTGGTTGATCAAGGCAATGACCCCTAATTCTATTTTTCTTTTCTCAACGCAGTGGTCTCATTGAAATGAATTGAGTAGCTCTGTGTCTGTACCATTTGTACATTTTTGTCCTCAATCCTAGGCCTTCTAAGCTAAGTCTTATCTGTGTTTGTTGTTTCCCAGTCCTCCCCAGTTATTAATTTTTAGTCCTGCTGGGTTGTTTACTGATTTATCAATGGGATCATTTGAACAGTTTCTGGTGTTCGCTTTGCTTTAAAAAAAAATCAACAATAAAGTGATATGATTTTTATCAAAATGCTCCTTATTTGTAGTCATGTGTTTTTAAGAAAATAGAATCCAGGCTGTTGTGTCTGCTGCCACAGTGATCATAGATTTGATATGTAAAAGTCTGGGAAATGTATTGTTAATGTGAACCTCCTGCTGTAGTTTCCACTATATGAAATAGTTTCCATAACAACGAGAGCAGTTAATGAGCAGCACGTTAACTGCTCTCATCCAGTTTCACCTCGTTAGTAAATGAATCCAGTCCCAGTGGCTTTATAAGTGTATATAATATACCTGCATACTGAACGATTTTATGTCACGTTTGGGAAGAATTTCAATCCTCGTGTTCATGGGAAACGCACTGTATAACTGTATAAGCCAGTTACAGATTCTTATTGAGAGTTTTATATAGAGCGTTGGAAGACCTGACTGTCCCACGCTGCAGAAAGATGGAGATTTACTTGCTTTTAACCACGTTTGCTCTTGCATGATTGCTGCCTTATATAGAGTTGGTTGTGGCCATCCTCACAAATTGATGCCATGCGTTCGGAAGATGCAGCAAACACATGGGGCAGTGACAACAATGTTTTGAAGACGAGCCAAATAACCAAGAGAAAAACATACTCGCCACTGTCATGTGCATGATTTCTGAACTAACACCAGAATGGCACTCAGTAGAACACACAAAGCCCAATGACTGGTAGTTTTTTGAAATGCTGTTGAGAGACAAACCAAGAAATGTAGATGCAAAAATGGTGACCCTCTTTGAGTTTCGCCATGTTTGTTTCAATCCGTGGTCTGAGCCTGAAGTAGCACACGCAGAGCACAGTCAACCAACTGTACCTTAAACATATTTCTTTGTCAGATGTGTCTTAATCAAAGTCTAATTCCCTCTGGCAGAGAGTTTATGCCTCACCTCTGTTTGTGACCTGTTGTTTTCCCAGATGTGCAACCAGTTGAGTACGAGGAGCCGAGCCACTGGTGCTCTATTGTCTACTATGAGCTCAACAATCGTGTAGGTGAGGCTTATCATGCCTCTTCAACCAGCGTTCTTGTGGATGGCTTCACTGACCCTTCAAACAACAAGAACCGCTTCTGCCTCGGACTGCTGTCCAACGTCAACCGGAACTCCACAATCGAAAACACCCGTCGACACATTGGCAAAGGTATAACTAACCCTCACACACGGAATGAGAGGCAGATTGATTAGATACTTATTTGTAGTTTGTGTTAGGGCTGGGCGATAAAAATAATTCTCTCAATATGACTTTTCCTTGATAGAAATATAAGACATGGTCAGTAGAACTAAGGATCAGGACAGACGCACATTAAAGGTCCGGTTGTCATGTGTGGGAGTCTGCTTCCTTCTTACTCCTCTGCTGACCGACGCTCATTTTACCAATATACACATTCACTGATCAGAAGTTATTAGGACACGTACAGGAATGATGTTTGTTTGATTTTGAGACACATTTATGAGACGTTTAAATTGTTTACACAACATTAGACGAAATGTGACGTACACAGACAGGACCTCAGGGTTAAATTGACCAGAACAATCCTGTTTCATGATCCAACACCATCAGTTAATAACTAAATACATTCATTATCAGTTTGTGTGTGAAGGACAGAGACAAGCAGACACACACACACACACACACACACACACACACACACACACACACACACACACTTATGAAACAACGCAGTCTTATAACTTCAGAGTTGCAGAAGAAGCGATGACCTGTTTTTCCAGGAGCATAAGTATGAATTCAGCAGGTTTTCATAAAGATCAGTTGTGTGTGAGTGATTAGAAAAAACCAGAGGAGCAGAGTCACTTGTTGACCTGTGCAGAGTAATGTACCTCAGTGGAGTGCTGCTGATTTGATTTATATATTGATATATATTGATATCGACTGATATGAAAATGTCCTGAACATCATTTGTCTGTTTCTGTTTTCCAGGTGTGCACCTGTACTATGTGGGAGGGGAGGTTTATGCAGAGTGCCTCAGTGACACCAGCATTTTTGTCCAGAGCCGTAACTGTAACTATCACCACGGTTTCCACCCCACCACTGTTTGCAAGATCCCCAGTGGATGTAGCCTCAAGATTTTCAACAACCAGGAGTTTGCTCAGCTTCTGGCCCAGTCGGTCAACCACGGCTTTGAGGCCGTCTATGAGCTTACCAAGATGTGCACCATTAGGATGAGCTTTGTCAAGGTAAGAGCTCCAAGTCGAGGACAGACTGGGACAGTTAAATATGTCTCATAGACAGAGAATGTCCACACAAATGGGTCTGGACTTTCTTCTGGGTTTGCATTTCACTAATGAACAACACAGCATGAAATTCCCCACTCAGACAAATCTACATCAGAACAGAAATCTCCAAAGCGTTCAGTTGAGGGGTGTTACATTAGGCAGAGGCAGGACGAAGCGTATAAATTCAGCTCAGATATCACATTTTTTTGTTTAGAGCACATTCACACCTGCATCTGCTCTCATCATCTGAAGCTCTTGACCTCTTCATCAGTGTCTTCAACGTGTTTGATAATTCCTTTTCTTTCTAAGATAGTTGTTTTTATTTTGTTTCTGTCATTTTTGCACATGCATGTTAGAACCGTCAGCAACACGCCCACTTGGTCGCAGTGAATCTGAAAAATGTCCAGAGATTATCTGGAGTTCAGTGCATGTCGTTTTTGAACTAGAGGCAAACTTCATCATTGTTACTCATTGTTGTATGATTTGCTCTGCCTCCTCAGGGCTGGGGAGCTGAGTACCACCGACAGGACGTCACCAGCACCCCCTGCTGGATCGAAGTGCACCTGCATGGGCCCCTCCAGTGGCTGGACAAGGTGCTAACACAAATGGGTTCGCCTCTCAACCCCATCTCCTCTGTGTCCTAATGATGGACCTGAGAGCCCCTTTTTTTACCTTTTTTTCCCCCTCAGTGATTTATAATTTAAGGTGGTCTTAACGGCTGAACTGTTTACACTTACTTTGGGAAGGGATGATGAAATCTGGCTGAAAATTCAACAGCAGCCAAAATCCAGTTGTTGAAACTGAGTAACATTATAAGCCGATACCTGGAGAAAGAGAGGAATAAGGAAATCCCAAGTAGCAGTAACGAAATGGACACACTACTGCTTGACAATGTTACAACACCTGCAAGAATTGAGGGCTCCGTTGTCAAGCTTGAATCTGACAAATGTTAATTTTTGCATCAAGTTTTATTGTTTTTCCTCAAATGATTTATTCTCTGTATGTGTAGTTTTTAGTGAAGCAGAACTGTTTCACTAGTCTGCCTTGTGTCTGACAGATGAATTGGATTTTTACCGAACTCCTTTCTTACATTGTCGTCTCGGTGTCAGATATTTACGATTTAAGATGTAGACACAATTATGTTTACCATTAGGCTCAGATATAACAAATGCTTTCTTTTTTATAGTCTCTACTGTTAGAAATGAACACTGAGCTACTGCCTTTTAAGAAAGTTACATATGCCAACCTGATAGTTTTTATTGTTGGGAGATCAATCACTGAACAAGTATAACATGCCATAAGCTAACAACAGTGTGAATGTTGCATCTATTGCAGTATAAGTAGTCATTAATGGTATAATCAGACCGTGGACGACATCATTATTACTGATTCTTGTTTGTACTCTCAAGTTCAAGTAAGAGTGACTGTATTTTCCATACTCACTGTATTAACAATATTGTGCACTCGTGGATTTTTTGGAGGCATATTAAATTTTGGCGTGGGTACCAAGGCATTATGTTGATAGATAATTGACTTCATTAGCTCAATGAAATAAACAGGTTATTTGGTAACAATGATTGTTTATTTTTCTGTTCCTCTGTCCTTTCACATTTCAGCTGAAACCTTGGCCTCTGATATGAATGAAGTGTTGAAATGTGATGAATCAACATAGATATACACAGTCACAATCACACTAGGCAAAGTACAGATCTAAGCAGTGAGTTACTGTGTTCATGAAAGACTGAGGATGGATTTCCAACACATCACCATTCACCACTGAACACTGATCTACTTGTGATTATACATGTCTGAATAGTTGCTAAAGATTTAATCAAACACAAATCATAGCGCTAGAATAATTAATGCCCCATCGTAAACTCATAAAAACATCACATGAAACAAATGATGCATTTTTCAATCTGGTAATGTTAAATATCTGTTTGATGCATTTCATGACATTAACAAATCACAGTAAGGTTCCATCAATTTATTCAAACATTGAAAAACTCATGTTAGGCAAGACATTGCATTTGCTGCTAGTTAGGAATGAGATTTAAAATAGGTAATGCTTCCCTGTGTTCTAATGCAAATGTCCTGCTATGTGGAGGACTGTAATAATTCCCTCTGCCAAAGGTGTTATGTTTTACCCCTGTCCGTCGGTTGGTGTGCATGTTAGTTTGTAAACAAGATAACACAAACACTTCTTGAGGGATTACCACAGAACTAGGTGGAAGGATGCAGTGTGGGTCAGTAAAGAACTCATTAAATTGAGTTGCAGATCTGGATCAGGGGACAGATCCAATGCTTTGTCACTTTATCACGAATTTTGTTTTTTTACATTTTCACAGATTTCCCAGGGAATAGTTCATGGATATTGATGAAAATAAACAGGAGTGTAAACTTCCGTGCAGCTTGATTGATTCTAACCATAAAGCAAACTATTGAGCCCCGGTTGAGGTATGTGCCCTGCTGAGTGCCACTCTAGTGGAGATTGTCTTCAAAAGAACAGGTAAACTTTAATCTATCAGCACAGTAAAGTAAGTATATCATTAGTCTAACCACATGATGCCATAACTGTATGTATTCTTCGAGACATGTACCAAACCACAGCCTGACAGACTTTTCATGAAGTTCATTTTTCATATTCACTCAAATATTTTGAATGTTTTATTTTTGCAATCATTTGAATTATCAAGCAAGTAGAAATTGATTTGTTTGAACCACCAAGCTTGATAATTAATGATTATAAATCTCTTATTAATAAATTAGCCATTTCAGGCTCAATAATGAGTTTAATTAAATGAAACTCTGGCCTCTCATTTCTATAATTAATATATAATTTAATAAAAAGACTAGACCTATAAATGTTGAATAATAAATTCACTGCAATACCTAACAACATCAGAAACATAAAATATGCTTCAGTCATTTTTTAAATCACGTTTTAGGTCAACAGGTGCATGTTTCACACGTTTTTTGGCTAAACAGGGATATTAGAAATTATTATTTTTTACATATTTTTGCTTCTGACATTTAACTAAACATATGTTTGTCAATCTCAGTCTATAGCATTATAACACATCCCAGTTTGTGCTTGCATCACTGGGTGTGTGAGTGTGATTCCCACAGTACAGTGTCATGTCATCGCTGCAACCAGCAAGACAACTTCCTATTGGTCCACGTTGTTATTTACCGTAAACCTCCTAAAAATGAGGATCGCCTCAATTCAAAAACACAATGCAACGAGTAACATTCACGCACACTGCGCAGAAAACAAACACTCAACATAAACACTGAGTGCTGGATCAACATGAAACACGAATGATCTCTCTGAACATCCTTTTACGGCAACGCGTCACATTTCTCTTGCGCCGTTTCCACTTCAGCAGCCGGATGTGAGGTGGCTCCCAATGAACAAGCCAAAGATAAACACGTAGCCAGACGAGCGGCGGCCACGATATTACATATACACAGAGAGGCCGCGGAGAACCCGTGCAAATGGAGTAGCTGGGGAGAATATAGCGACCGCAGCAGGAGAGCAGACCCCGTCACACGAACACAGAAGCGAGTCGTCTGCAGACATCGAGTCGGTGAGTCCTGCTGGGAAGCTACCAGCTAGCATGCTAACGTTAGCTAACCCCAGCTAACTAACCTGATTACCTGTCTGTGGTAGTAAGGTGGTCTCTGGAGCGCAGCAGGGTTGCTAACACAAACACACAGCTACACGCCGAGCTTAGTGAGACGTGTGCTGGTGTGAGTTTCACTTTCTTTGGAAGCTGTCACGAGGTTAGTTGGATTTCTGAGACTTGCTTTGACTTGAGGAGCTGTAATGGTAGCTGACAAAGCTACATGTTCCCCAGGAAGAAGGTGAAGCCAGTGTTTGTTCTCCAACAAAGACTGGAGTTATTGCTCCACCAGCAGATGCAGTATGTTACACAGGAGACAGTGATGCACCAGCTGCACCAGCGCGACTGCACACGATGCTAACCTGCTGTGTTGAAATACATATTGTACATAAGCACGTTTAATCCCTGAAGCCCTGTCATACACTCATCTCTACTGGTTACTTGTGGAAGCTATTGAAACGTGCATCTGCTCTCTGTAGTTCACCTGACACTTTCTTTTATGGGTTCTGACTAGATCATAGTATCTTTTTCAAAATACATTGACAATAACAAAGCACAGTCATATACAAATTAAAGCATGACCACCCATTACAATAGTAAGAAGTTGAGTTTGAGTTTCTGCCAGTTAACCAGCTGCAGTTAACTTGAAAACAAGTCTGGTTAATGCAAACCTGCGGAAGGAAATCTTCACAGTCACGAAACAAGCTGAAGCACCTTAAGGGATAGTTCACTCAAAAATGTAAATCCACTCATTATCTACTCACCGCTATGCTGATGGAGGGGTGTGTCAAGTGTTAAGAGTATCGGGGGTAAACAGCTTTGCAGCCAAATCCAAAACAATTTAAACTGCATCAACTTCTTCAAACAAACTAAAAACATAAAAATGCTTGTGTAGTGTCACCCAAGTGTCTGAGCCCGAACATTCAAATTCAACATGAAACGGCGTCTCCACCAGGTTTGCTAAATAAGTGATTTTTAATTGATGACTGACTGTTAAGATTTCAAAGCTTTCTGTCCATATAGTTAATACATAAAAAAATGGAACAGCTGTCTGTATTTGCATGCTGCTCCTCTACATAGGTCAGCTTTCACAAACAACATCCTCCTCCTTCATGTCTCACTTCATGTGTTTCCCCCACACAGTATCTGTAGCTGAGTCCAAAATGGTACGAGCAGCGTTGGTGACTGCCACCAGTCTGGCACTGACTGGGGCTGTGGTGGCACACGCTTACCTCCTCAAGCACCAGTTCTACCCGACTGTGGTCTACCTCACCAAAAGCAGCCCCAGCATGGCGGTAAGATCATGTCTAAAGTTGAATCTTGATCTTTGTTTAAGTTATTTGGATATTTTACCCAAAATAATATCTTTAAAACGTGACACTGTTTAAAGAGGCATATCAGTGACATTGGGAGGAATCAACTTGACGTGTGTGTTTGTTTCTGGTATCAGGTGTTGTACATTCAGGCCTTTGTGCTGGTGTTTCTACTTGGAAAGTTCATGAGGAAGGTGTTCTTCGGTCAGCTACGAGCTGCAGAAATGGAGGTAGAGTTCTGTTTTTATTTATTACTCACTTTAATCACTGTATCACACATTTGTATTTAATGCACAATATGTGTTGTAAATGACAGCAATGAATCAATCAGACCTTAAACCTTTTCCTCCAGCACCTCATCGAGCGCTCCTGGTACGCTGTCACTGAGACCTGTCTGGCCTTCACTGTATTCAGGGATGACTTCTCCCCTCGCTTCGTCGCCCTCTTCACCCTCCTGCTCTTCCTTAAGTGCTTCCACTGGCTGGCCGAGGATCGGGTGGACTTTGTGAGTGATGACAGAGAAACAACTTCCTCATCGCACACAGTGCCCTGTATACTTTCTCCACTGTTTCTTTATGCAGTCAATGGTGTAAATGTGGAAAGGAAATGTGGGACACAGGATGAGGCAGATGGTGTGTGGCTAAGGCTGAATACCAGTGTTGAACAAACATTGGTTGACATTTTGCTGTTGATTTTCAGTCACAGATAAAGTGCAAATGCTCGTGACTGTGCTGTAAGTTGGGGGAGTTCCATATAATACTGTTTGAGCAAGTGAAAGTATTAGTTGCCTGGTGAGGACATTTTAAGTGAAGGAAGCTTTATCAACTTCTAATAGACAGCAGTCATTAGCTGAATCGAACTGACACAAATCACATGTTTCTTTGCTCCTGTATGAATGTATGAATCATTGATAGGAGTATTATTCAGACTCACTGATGGAATCTTTCACGTATCATTTGAATAATTTCGATGTTTTATTTACTGCTAGATGGAACGAAGTCCAAACATCTCCTGTGTTTTTCACTTGAGGGTCTTGTGTAAGTACATTTTATCTTTTATCTTCTCTGTCTGCATTTCTTCCTTTTTAACTTTCACTTCCTTATCTCTTTCTCTTTCTTTTCCATTGATTGCACTTATAAGACAAGTTTTCAAGCTGAATGAAACTGCATGCAAATCATTCTGTGTGCCCATGAGGCCAGGTGCATCAGAATGAAAGTAACAGACGGTTAGGGTTGATGGCAGTAATGATAGAACAGGCCATTTGATTACATACTTACTGTATTTGAATTCAGTGCCGATGATTATTTTGAGTTTATACAAGGGGAGTGTTACTCAATGTTCTTTACTTTCTGCAGCTCTCATTGGACTGCTGGGTGTTCTGGACTTCCTGTTTGTCAACCATGCCTGTCACAGCATCATTACCAGAGGAGCCTCAGTCCAGCTTGTTTTTGGATTTGAGGTTTGTTTTACTTTGTTTGAATTGAATTGAATATCTGCTTTGAGCTGTAAAACTAATGCACCAGTGGCCATTTCACAAGCTTAATAATTCACATATTTGGGATAGTTTCATTTTTACCATGGGTTTCACTCACCCTCAACATCTGTTGATGTTCACATCTGGTTACTGAGTTGGCC